GGTACAGGGGGGCAGGTCGGCTGCTTCCCGGATAGCGGCGCCCGCGCTACTTTTCTATTCCTCTTCCTACTTCCCCGTTCGCTTTCGGCGCCCGGAGGCAGGAAGGCGTATGGATATCCCCCCCCCCCCAATCTTGCACGGTCCCCGCTCGTCTTGGGCGCGCCTCCCTCCCGCCCGTGGCAGCGCGGGCCCTCGCGGAGGTGCCAGGTCAGGAAACACTGGCCCAGCTCCTGCCCCTCCCCCCCCCCGGTCCCCGGGCGCGGTGCTGAGGCTTGAAAGTTGCGCTGGGTCAGAGGATTTCTCCGCTTCCCTCGTCCCGTCCCCCCCCGCACACACACCCCGCAGATCCGTCCCCTCGGCTGCGTGCCAGCAGCGCGTGCGTTTCGCTTCGCACCCTCCTCTCCGCCACGAACGAGTTAAGTGAACCACGTAGGAGGGACCTAGGGCAGAGTTGGGGTGCAGAAGTGCTGCAGGAAGGATCTCCGTGTCCACGGCTGAAGGCTTGTGGTCTTAAAGTGAAATGCAAAAACTTCGTATTTCTAGCCTGCTCACTGCTGCGTTATGATTCAAGGTACTTTCTGTGTAACGGAGGAGTACAATAGTTTAAGAAGACTTTCTTCTGCGAAGCCTTTGGACCTGGGTGGGGGCGGGGGGATGCGGCTTGGTTTTTTTCGGTTTTTCTCTTCTTTTTTTCCCCTTTTTTTTTCTCTTTTTTCTTTTTAATTCATCACACTCGGTCCTTTTCTCAGCTCCAGTGCCTTAACTTCTCTGTGAAGTTTTATTTCCTGGTAGACAGAAAATTCAGTTTAATCATTGAAGTTGTGATATTGTTGGGTGCTTGCTGCAGTTCTGCATTTATTTCTTCCAGTTTATATGATTGCTACTGGACTATTGGCTTGTTTGTTTTTTAATAAACTTTTTTAATGTGGTGTGGGAATGTGCACAAATATTTTATTTATCATGTAGCTGAGCCCGTGCTTTTAAAATACAAGTATTTTAAAAGCTTTTCAGTGGAAGAAAACTTATAAAGGCTGAGTTTCACTTTCAAGGAAATAACTGTCCTGACTCAACTCATTTAGAAAAAGTAAGTTAGTACTGCACAGGTGCGTATGCATTGTCAGTCTTTGACAGTCATAGACATAATATACAGAGGATATACATCATTTCCATCTTTTTTTTTACAATAATTAAACTTGTATTTTATTATATACTTAACTTCATCAAACAATTAGACTTTGGGGCTGCATTTTCTTTCTTAACTTCACCCTGCCCATATTTTATTTTATAACTATATAAAAGTGGGTGTGGCTAAAAAAAAAAAAAGCAGGAGACAATTGGATATCAGTAGACATTGGATATACAGGTAACTTATTTTACCTGATATTTGATTTCCTCCTTATTTGGCTGTATAAACTAAGTGAATTTTTCTGAACAGAACCTGGAAGAATTGATTGCATTTTTCACCTTGTTTAACTGGTGCTTACTTGCCCTTAAACACAGTTACTTTTTCAGGAAACAACCATGAATTTCTGGCTCTAAGCATCTGTATTACCATTAGAGAGACAAATGCAAGTTAAAATTACCCACTTATGGCCATATATTGCTACACTTTATCATGAAACCTAATCAATACAGTTTTTATTAATTTGTTTCTATTAAGCCTGTTGGGCTTTCAGAAAGACATTACAAATAAACTACAGTTGTCTTCTTAAAGACAGTTGCATTGAAGGCTTCCGAGAAGTACAAACTCTCTTGTAAGTGTAAATTGACCAAAGTTTGAAGGAACTTATGATAATTTTTTTGTAACTTGGAGCAGTATGTATGTCTGCCTGAATGTGGCTGGTATTGCATTGAAAATGTATTGTACTAGCATTTTTAAGGTGGCACATACACCTACTAAATATTAAAGTTACACTATGCCCTATCTTCTTTGGTTCTTTTTTTTTTCCTTTAGGATTGGGACTTGTATCTGAAATACAAAGCTAGGAGGAAATCTTATTTCTAAATAAATAGTTTTGATATCCTTGATTAATTGTATGGTGATGTGTCAGAACATGTAGTGTTATACACCTTAAAGTGCATGCATACTCCCTGCCTACACACAGTCTAGGAAAGGTGCATGTTTTATTCATTTTGGATGTCCTAAAGCTATTCTAACAGGTGTATCAATTTTTTGGTAGTGTTTTGTGTGTCTCTATGTGCATAGTTTAAATTTCTATGGAAAGAATAGTGTTGAAGCACTTGCTGTTATAGCAATTTACTATTCTTTGCTATCTACTTTGCGAAGTATTAAAGTATACATTAAAAGGAGCTGGGGAACTTTTAACAATATTCTTCATGTATATGCTGCAGGTATTTGCTTTCTTAGATATAGTCTTCCCCTTCCCTCCCTTCCCTGCTCACTAGTTACTAGTCATTCTAGTAACTTACATTCATTACTCATTTAGTTACAGATTGTCAAAGGTAGAGTGCATCTAAGATTTATTTTTGGGTGTATTTGGAAACCATAGAGAGTGAAGTTTAGGTGTATTGTGTCCTAATTAAAATGTTTTTTTATAGTACAATTTTAGAAATGGAAAACAGTTCGTTTCAGACAGAATAATAAATATACTTTGCAAATATTCTGTATGCATATCACTGCAACTTCTAAATACCTAATATATAGCACTAGACTCTTCATCAGAACATTCTGTCTTACAAGCAGTACATTTTAGAATATTTTATTTGAACAAAGCATATAATTTTATGTTATTGTAGATAGTCTTATTATGTTTCTGTGATTCTTCTAGAAATACTGTAGTTTAGAGTGAAGTTACCTATTTTCCTTGACTGAAATAGTAATGTATTTTACATTAGAAATATTATCCACACATAGTGAAGGAATGGCAAGAGAGAAATCGATTGCCTATTTTTTTTGTATATTATCTTTACTTCGGACAACAAACCAACATTTTTATTTATTTATTGCTCTGACGTATTGACACTAGCTCTATAGGTTTGCTAGGTATCTGCTGCCTTAATACGTATAGTAGATCTACTTGGGTTTAAAAAAGAAGCCATCATGGGAAATCCCTATTTCTGAGTAGTAAAATATATTTGGGAGATGGCTAGAATTGGCTTGGTTTGAAATCTTCTGTTTCTGTTTTTAATAGCATTTTAAATCAATACATTTTATTGATGTTTAACCCTTTATAGTAAACTTTAAAAAGATCTAAATCGCATAACAGAAATATTTGGGAAACTGTCTATTAGAGATCTGATGGGTCTGTAATAAATAATTTAGTCAGGGTGGGGGTGTTGTTTGTTTGTTTTGTGTGTGTGTGGCTTTCCAGTAGTCTTGCACTGAGATTAGAGAAGAACAATGAAACTTCAGTTCTTCAGCTTGCTTGCTTGCTTGCTTATTTATTTATTTATTTACTATTTTTAACTTTTAGTTAATATTTTCATCTAATTGTAGTTTGCTATATCTACCTTTATGGAAAACAATAAATTTATAAAGGCTTTCTTTAATCATAGATGCTTTCAAATTCAAGCAGTTAAGTAAATATACAGTACAAGCATGCCCCCTTTTATTGCTGTGTAAATACACAATTAGAATGTATAGATGCTTATGGATAACTCTTCTGAAATCTTAGTATTTATTTTAGCAAAATAAATCAAGACATTCTCATCTTACCTGAAAATGAAAAATAGCAGTGGCTGTTGGTCCTCATTAATATCTAAAGAACCACTGTTGGGTGTGGGTGGGGGGAACCAACCTTCACTATTTAGGTTCTAAAGTGTTCAGAAATAACAGTGTTTGCACTCTGAAAATACTATTAATAAACTTATAGAATCAACTCACATGCCCACTAATTTGTATTCTAATATGAAATGCTTAATTGGATTTGATTTGTATCCAGGGAAAAATAATTACTTTTATTATGATTTAACATGTTTTCATAATATTAAGTTTCAAACTTAAGATTTTAAATTTGTGTTATATTTTAATATGTTAAATATTAGTATAAAAACTTGAGGGAAATTTTTTACCAAATAAATTATTTTATGTGGCTTTGGATCATTTTCAAGTTTTTGTTCTTAAGAGGGTGGAAATAGGGAAGACATTGGAAGAGAGGGACCTAGAAGTAAAGAAAAATTAATTTTTACAATAAAAGTAACCTTGTTTATTAAATGATATAGTTGCTATCTTTAATGAATTTTGAAAATACAATTAAGGAGTAAAAAGCAAATCCTGTTGCAAATATATTCTAAGCAGGTGACGGAATCAGGACAGCTGCTGCTTATTTAACAGACTTAAGGTGTATCTTGTCAAAGCACACAGTACTGATGCTACAAAAAAATAATGGGAGAATTTTGCTCCTTGAATGTATTGCTTCCTTCTGTAGATACTTGAAAGTGACCTTCTATTATTAGGTTTTTCCTTATTTTTATCCACCAAATATATTTTCCCTCAAGATACATGGTATTATGATGACAGCAGAATATTATTCAGTATGGTGTAAAATAGCGTATATGCATAATACAATTACTCCTCACTAACATGTTGATGATGCTGCTGCTATCTTGGAAAAAACGGGTTAAAACTTTTTTAAGAAAGCAGCACATGGTAAACACTTTAACAGTCCGTAGCATATTTTTAGAGCTATCACAGTTAGCATGCAGATAATAATTATTTAAATAGTTTTTAAGTTAGTTTTTCTCCCCTTCTAATCTTTCTCTTCCCCCTCACCCTTCTGCAAAAATGTTACAGGGAGAATGAAAGCAGAAACATGTTAATCTGATTTGTTTCAGAAGGTTTCTGATAATAAAGAAGCATATCACAGGTGTTCCTAATCAAGTCAGTTAGGCAAAAAAAAAAAGAGTATTTTTAAAATTAGGGTTTCCTGTAATGCAGACAAAGTGAGGGTCAATTTGATGACCTACATCTATGTTTGGGGATCGACCATGAAACTCTGGGTGTTGGAAATATGTTATAATACATGACATTTTTATTGCAGGTTTTGACCTTTCAATAGAGAGCTGATTCTGGAGAACAACTTACTTCTATGATTGAAAAATTCTCTCTGAAAAGCTGATGCAGCATAAGTATGGTACATATTGTATTAACATATTCCTTATTGCATATGGCTTTTTGTTTTTTAAATGTGTTTAGTAATAGAGCTTCTCTGGCTTATTCAAAATGACCCTGTTTTGCTGGGGTAGTTAAAGATTTTTTTTGTTTGTACAAGTTATTCTTCTTTACACTCACTCTGTAAAGTTTTTAAAGACTTTTTTTATTTAGTCTCGATTTCCTTCTGAAGACAGCCTATGTGTTAAGTGGCCAAAATATGTACAAAAAGCTGAGTTTGCAACAGCCTTGATCATTGGAGTTGCATACATTCTCCATATAGTGTTGTTCTCATATTCTTGTATTGGAAATTGCTCCAACTGAAAGGTGCTATTCTTGTGGGGGGGAAGTATGGATGATATATTGTTTATTTTAAAGTAACTAGTCTATTATCAGTAGGGTATATTAAAGAGAAAACTAGAGAACCAGTTGGGTGCATTTTAGGGTACTCTGCAAAATTTATTTTAAAATATATTAATAATTGGCCATTTGACAAGTAAAGCAGCAGCATAGAACATGCAAAATTGATTTTTTTTTTAAAGGCCACCTCCCAGGAAAATATAGTCAAAAATGTAATTTATTTTAGGTGTTTTGTCAATAAACACTCCAATTGTATGGAGTAAAGCAATAAATAATTTAATAATATGCATAGAATATACCATACTCATCTTGCAAGTCCTTCTGCAGTAAGAATGCTAATTTGGTTGAAACTGAGAAATCCATTCCAAGTAATACAGACCGATCTACTGGCATATGAATAATCTCAGCTAACTATTAAAATAAATACCTAAATTTTTAAAATACAATTATACTAAGATCAAATAAATTTGTTTAAACACTAAACAGAGAACAGGAATTTTAAGATTCTTATCTTTCATAAAATGTATTGTGGCAACAACTAATTTTATGAACAAACAGTGACATTAGTAAACTTAGAATTTGGTGTGTCTCCAGTTTTTATCTTTCATCAAGATTTACTGCTTTTAAATTTACATATTTTGTATGAAATAATTCTACCAAGGTAGAAGCTATATATTTTGTAAAACGAAAATTTTAGATGGCCAATATATTTGCTGATAATACCTTTAGAAAAAATCTGCAATTTCATTTATATATAAACTCGTCATTCATCCTTGTTCTGTAGCTGAGTTCAGATCTCTGTGAAAGATTGCTAGCTCTTGCCATTACTACACTTTCTGTCACACAGTAATTCGGACAATTTTTTTTCTTGAAAACTGCATAGAAAATATTCCTTTATAGTATTACAGTTTTGTAGGAATTTGTCTGCTATACACAATTATCAGGTATGAAAGGCAAAAATTTGAGTACAAAATATAAAACCTTGATATTATTGGAATACAGGGTAACTTTGCTTTTAATAAAACTTACACCATATCCCTAATTTATTTTGTGTCAAGAAAGAAATATTTTATTTTTTAAGTAAGAAAAGTAGTAACAATTTTCTTGTGACTTATTTTTTTTAAACATATACATACACATATTCCTATTACCTTGAAATTAAGCTTGATGTACCATGGTTTTTAATTTTACAAGTTCTTCACAACTTTTTTTGTCTTGGTGTAGATACTGTAACATTATGAATAATTTGACTTTCTGGTTCTGTAAGAATAAGGGCCTTGCATAATATTTTTGCAGGTTTTTAGGGTTTTTTATACTTTCTTTTTTTTCTCCCTCCCCCTCCCGTACAAAAGCTGTTCAATCTTGTTAATGAAAATCAGGAGTATATTGCAAGGCAAAAGTATCCCTTGTGAAATATTTAAAAGGTTGAAAGCTTGATGGAGTATTCTTTGGTCTGACACAAACTGAGGGTATCTCTAATGCAATATTTTGCTGGAAAATATAGATTTAAACTATAAATTCCAAGGATTATTGTAAACTTAGGGCCTAATTCTGAAAACCCTTAAATACACAAATAGTCCTAATAACTCAATTGTATGAGTAAGGATTTGCAGGATCATGACCTTGGTATTTCCAATCTTTTCCTTTTGTATTTTTTTCAAAATAATTAATTTCCTCTAATTAATATATTTGTAATAGCAACATTTTTCCATTAATAAAATAGGTATTTTAAGAACTATCTTGAGGTCAGTAGTTGTCAGCTTTCATTAAAAAAATCACTTTTCAGGTGTTGGTTTGCTCTAGAACGTTTCCTTAGTGAAACTTAAGCATGTCTGTTTTGCTACCCCAAAATGCATTTGAAATTTTTGTTGAGATTTGTGCTTTTCTCTCACTTAGGTTCCACTATTGCAATTCTTACTTAAGGAAATCTCCTGTGACTGTACTGAAAGCTTTGCATAAATGAGGACTGCAGGGCCATGTGGTTAAAATTTTGGTATGACTTACAAATTGTATACTTAACTACTTAAATCACTCTGCATTATTGAACAGTAATGAGTTTAGAATGGATAAAAATACCTAAGATTTATGCATGGGTAAAACTTTAGCAAAGTAACTTCTGATAGGCATTTTTTATCATTCATACTTTAGGTTTATACACAAGACCATACAGACTTTGTTGGCTAAACAATAGTTTTGAGAGCTGACAACACATGCTTATATAATAGATTATAACTGCTCTAAAAGAGCTGTTGCAGATTACTGTGTCAACTCTGTTTTCTTTAAAGGCTTCTTTTGCTTTTCAAAGTTAATTTAAATAATTTCACTAAAGGAGATATACAGCTATTTAATTTGTGCCTACTCTTTAACAATGCATGTAAAATCATCAACTGTTTGAAAACCCTATGACATCTTAGTCAAGAGACAGTTTAATTTTGGAATCTATAATAACTGAATTTTCTGGTTTCTGTTTAAACTGGGTTGAGCCTTACTACTATTTTAATGTAAACTATTGCATACTAGATGTGTTAATTTTACATCTGGCCCACTTTATACTTAATTCTTCCTTCCTTTCTCCCAACACAACATTTTTTTTTTAAGAATCAGCACACTGAAAAATAATCATATTTAATGATTCATTAAAAATATTAATTCTTTACATTTAAATCTTTGTTCTTTTACCCAAAAGCTTTTGGAGAGTGGGGAGTGGCTCTCTATTTAGGTCTTATTTTTAACACAAAACTTAGCAAAGATGCTTCAAAAACAATTTTTATGAATTAAGAAGTTCTGTTTTTGTTTTTTGTGATCAGATTTCACTTAAATATCAGCAGAACAGAGTGAATAGTTTATTAATCTACCTTGTTTCAGTTGGGTCCCTTGCTTGTCAGTGTTAAAACACATTAGTTTGAAGGTGTGGTTGAAGAGACAGCTGACTGACTACTGTGTTTGAATAATGTAGAATTAACACACACTAACTTTAAGTTTATTTGAAATATTCAGATACTCATTTCAATTACTTTTAAAGAAAGGCATTTAGCCATGTTAGTCTGAAGTATTTTTGAGTGAATAATGTGAATAATTTATTTTCTGAGGGAAATAATTTTTCAGTCTCTTATTTCTCCAAATGCTTGCTTGCAGTATTTTAAAAGGAAACCATTTCTTTCGTAACTGAATTATTCTAGAATGTCTTAATCTCTGTCACACTATTTCACATTTTTAAGAAAAATTAACAGCTTTTTTTTTTAAAAAATAGTATTTCAATGCCAAGTACTAAGTGCATATTACTTAAAATATTTCACACCATGACTTGAACTCACTAACCTTTAAGAATTTGCTCTTAAGTAAGGTTTGTGAATATTTTTGTTAAAAAAAAGATGTTTAATTGGCCAGTCCCCTTTGTTGTTAAAGGTGATTTTGAGTTCAGTGAAATTACTGGGTCTAAGTGGTAAGGTTTAATGTTGTTAATCTCCGTGAAAACAATTGTAAAACCATGATCATGTTGACTGCTTCAACTGAATTTTATTTTTCATACTTAAAGGTACTGTGTTATATATTAAATGTCCCAAATGATGCCATATGTGAGAAAATTTAAGGAGCTGACTTGGAGTTGCTCACTAAATCGCAAGGGGGGGGGGAGTTTGCCCTTTAAAACAGGCAGGTGATGCAGTCTCTAGATCGTTAGCCTATGGAGAAGCACAGTTCTCCCAGATACCCTGCAGTGTAAGATATCCCATACATCTTCCAAGAAAGGGAGCTTTGAAGAGGAGGGTAACCTATTCCTCAAGATGCTTCCGTATAAGACCCTTCATCTCCGCAGCAGAAAACATACACACAAGACATTCAAATTCCTTGTAACGTAATGCTGACAGGGTTAGCACTATCATGTACAGACAGATTCCTGATTATCAGAATGGAATTATCTCTTCATGTCCTTCCCCCCAATTTACAGAAGGCCTTCAAAAAAAGGGGAAATGATTTTGCTTAGCACATTGCTGTAGCTGCTTTGCTTGCTATTTTGAGAGAGAGTATTTGTAGAGATTTTTTTTTTTACCACAAATCCATCCAAATAAGGTGTTTTGGCCAGTAGGTGGAGAAAATATTAATTGGGTTGTAGTTTTGAGTCGTACAACTGTTTTTGAAACAAAGGCCTGCACCAAGATCTCTTGCATCACTTATATATATTTCTCTGGTGTAGATAGCTGGGGTTATTTAAATACATTTGGCTTATTACTTCAATTAGTAAAAATATAGATGCGATTCCAAAATTAGTTTCTCTTTGTTCACATCAGTGGGAGATACAAATATCATTTGAAATATGACTATGGGAAGAGACCTACTGTGTTCCTCCCCCCTTCTCCTCCTACCCCCCTTTCCCTCCAGTGCTACAGCCAGGATTAAAATTTAGATCTTAATCTACAACTCAGACTTTTGAATTACTACTTGGAGAATAATTTGTTCTAGAGAATCAGTGGTGGAAGACTGTGTTCCAGGTTTATACTAGTAACTTTCTCTAGGTTCTGATTTTACCTATGGTTTTGCAGGCACAATGATTTTGATACTAAAACTTGCTCATCTTTTTCAAATTGATACTTCTCCAAATTTTATTTGAGAATCTGATACTAGTGTGTAAACAGTTAACATAGTTTCATACCTTCTAGGGTCAGAAGGGACCTGAGAAGATCATCTAGTCCGACCCCCTGCCATGGCAGGAAAGAGTACTGGGGTTAAACGACCCCAGCAAGGTGTTCATCTATTCATAATATTCATCCGTTCATAATAAATACAAATGCCTTGACATTCATACTTTCATTGAAAATCATTCCATTTAGGAAGTAAGTAAATTTTCCCAATTTCTTGTGTAATATTCAGTTTGTCAAACCCACATGCCAGATTGATGATTCTGGTATGAAGATAGTAACTTAACATGTTGGCTATAATTACATGCATGTGCATGCGCACACAATTTTAGACTGCAGAATAATAGCGTTTTCTTGGTGATCTGTGTAACCAATTTTCCATTATGTAGAAAACTACTTAGAACTTGTCACTTATAAATATACAGATCTTTCCTATTCAGCACAGCATTTCATCACATTTGAAAGTTTTTTGCTAAATAGTAAAGGACTTAACCTTTATTCCAAAGCACAGGAATTTGCTTTTCTCTGGATTCCAGTTCAAAAAAAGTCTTTACTTACCCCAGTAGGTATAACTTGCTTAGTGTGGTTAGCTTTTTCTCCATCTCTGTATTAGGCCATTCAAAAGTCATCTTAAAGGTATGGATTTTCATGTGATGAGATGCTAATATAGATGCATCTAAATGCAGTGGCTTTTATGATTAAATATGGATAAAAAGTGGCGTATGTTGTGAGCAAACATGTTTTAAATTGGCCTTAGCCTATCAATACCCAAGAAATGACTATTCTTGACCCTTTCTAACTTATTCACACCAGCTGCACTAATAACTAGAAAAAGCAGCAAAATATTGTAAAATTATATTAATTTGCAAGCAAGCACAGTTATTTTTAAAAACTAAGGCTAGTGAACCAGACATAACATCTTTATAGATGTACCCATTAATAACTTATTACATAATTAAGTGGAGCTAATATTTTTAGAAAATGTATATAGTAAACACTTTGTGAAAATTAAGTCATAATAATATAAGCCTTCAGTAAGGTGTTTTGATGTTAAAGATTTGAGAGATGGAGACTGTCAGTTTATTTTTGTGTATTTTATCTTGCTGTGCAATGAACTGCTTAGTATCGATGATCTGGAAGACAGTATGGAGTGCACCCTCAACAAGTCTGCAGATGACACCAAGCTGGGGAGAGTAGTAGATATGTTGGAGGGTAGAGTTAGGACTCAGAGAGACTTTAACAAATTGGAGGATTGGACCAAAAGAAGTCTCACGATGTTCAGTAAGGACAAGTGCAAAGTCCTGCACTTAGAATGGAACAATCCCTCTGACTGCTACAAGATTGGGACTGACTGGCTAAGCAGCAGCTCTGCAAAAAAGTACCGGGGGTAGACAGTAAGCTGAATATGAGCTGACATGTGCCCATATTGCAAAGAAGGCTAACAGCATACTGGGTTACATTTGTAGGAGCATTGCCAATAGATCAGGGGAAGTGTTTATTCCCCTCTGTTTGGTACAGGTGAGGCCACATCTGGAGTACTGTCTAGCATCAGCCCCCCACTACAGAAAGGATGTGGACATATTGGAGAGAGTCCAGCGGAGGACAGCAAAAA